GGGGCTCTTGGAAGGTAATTGGAGCGTGAGTTGCTGGCTTCACGAGTAGAATGATCCGCTGAAGAATCCATAGCAGAATGGGCTGTTAGGAGGTGGGGCCTGGACAGAAGAGGTGGGTCACTGAAGCCCATGACCAGGAATTGCGCATTTCCTCCCCTGCTCCTCCCTTCTTGCTCCACTTCCTGATCACCATGAGGTGAGCAGCTTTCTTGGCTAGACCCTTCCACAACACCCTTCCTGCCTTGGAGCCAGTGGACTATGAACTGAAACCATGAGTGAAAATACACTTCTCCTCCTTTAGGTTGTGGGTATTTTCTATTTTGTCCAGTGATGAGACAGGGACTAATATATATAAACTATATTATATATAGTTTATATTATATATATGTAATTTCTGACAGATGCAAGGAACAAATTTATTTCGTTAAGAATATCCACAAATTGATGAGAAAATGTAAGTTATTGGATTTATGATTCTCCCCTTTTATTTATCTCTTTAAAGGCAATAAATGATAGAAAGAGGGCATTGACTCTGAAGTAGGAACACAAATGTTCCAGTATTAATTTTAATCATGGCTTGAAAAGTTTGAAATGTTCTAACTCCTCCCCTCCCCAGATTCTGCTTGGATTCCCTTACCTACCCAGCATTCAGGTTTACTTCTCAATGTTGAAATATAATCAGAGACCAAGATTGGAGAGAGGAAGGTGCCTTTCCAGGGACACAGATGTTGTCTAGAAGCTGATTTGGACAAGATGTGACTCATTTGAGAAACAAAAGCACTTTTAAACTCAGCTTGATACATTCAAAGAGCTAAATTGTTTTAACAATTGAGATATAAGTCTTATACCATAAAATACAAATGTTCATTTAATTTTTTTTTTTTTTTGGTACCAGGAATTGAACTCAGGTCCTTGCTCTTGCAAGGCAGGCCACTGAACCACTGAGCTAAATCCCTGGTCCTTAAAATTTTTTATTAGTACATGTTTGCAATATTGAGTGAATCATTCGTTCCGGGGAGTTGGTATCTTTGAAGTGTGTGATTTGGTGGTTTTTAGGACAGTCACAAGTTCTGCAAGTTTAACCACTATCTAATTCTAGAGCATTTTCATGAGCCCTCAAAGAAATTCAGTCATTCCCCATTCCTCTCCTACCCTGTGGAGAGCATGGATCTGTTTTCTGTCCATTTGCCTATTCTGAACATATTTTATACAAGTACAATAAATATGTGGAATTTACTTATATTTCACATGAACAGAATGAATTTTATATAAGTAACATCATCTTTTGTGAATGGTTTCTTTCACTTAACAGAATTTTTAAAAAGTTTACTCACATTGTATCTTGAATCACTACTTAATTTCTTTGTGTAGTTGAACACTATTCCATTGAGTGGATATAAGATATTTTGTTTATCCATTCATCTATCAGTGGCTGCATGAGTCCTTCCCAATATTGCACTACTATGAGCACATCATTTTTTATGTTGCAGTCAGCAAGGTAGGGGAGGTCCAGTTTCTCCATATCATTATCAGTGGTTGGTATTTTCAATTTTTATTTTTAGATTTTTTTTTTTCAGTACTGGGGATCAAACTGAGGACCTTGTGCTTGTGGGCCAGTCACTGTGCCACTGAGCTAAATCCCCAGCCCTCAATTTTTCTTTTTACAATAGCCATTCTTTATAATATGAAAATGAAATGTCTTTGGTTTTGATTCCCTTAATGACTAGTTGTGTTGATGGTGTTTTTATATGTATATTTGCATATATTCATTGAAGAAATGTCGAGTCAAGTTTTTTCTCAGTTTTTAATTGGATAATTTGTCTTTTCATTGTTGAGTTATAAGAACTCTTCCAGTGTTCTGGATACAATTCTTGTGACAGCTACCTGAGTTTGGTAGGAAATACTTCCTTTTCTTCTTGTTTTTGGAAGAGTTTCTGAAGAACTGGTGTTAATTATTCTTTAAACATATGTAGAATGCAGCAAGCAAGCCACCTGGATCTTGGATTTTTCTTTGTTTGCAGTTTTTTTACTTCCTCAGTCTCTTTGTTGTCCATGAAGAGTATGTCTCTCCAGAGTCAGGAGAGTGGTGTGTTTTTTTCAGTAAATATGTCCACCACATTAGAATAATTGCTTGGATCATTTCTTTATAATCCCTTTTTTCTGTAGAATGGATAGTACATTCCCTCTTTCAAGTAATTTCCGTATTCTCTCCTTTTCACTAGTTAATCTACCCCAAAATTTGTCAAATTTGATCTTTTTCTGACTTTTTGGTACTGGGGATTGAACTCCAGACCTTGTACTTGCAAGGCAGGAGGCAGCCCCACTGAGCTAAGTCCCTGGCCCAATTTTGATCTTTTTAATGACTCACTTTTTGGTTTTCTCAACTGTTTTTCTATTGTTTATTTAATTCATTTCCATTTTGATCTTTATTATTTATTTTCTTTTGCTTGTGGTAGGTTTGGTTTGCTTCTTTTTTAACCAGTGTCTTAAGGTAAAAAGTTGGGTTATGGTTTGAGAAACTTCTTCTTTTTATAATTTAGGGATATAGAGCTGGAAATTACCCTCTGACTATTGCTTTAGCTACATGCCATACATTTTTTAAATTTTGTGTATTTCAAATGAATTTATTTCAAAATATTTTCCAACTGCCTTTTAATTTTTGCTTTTTGTTTTTGGAAAGTTTCATTATGATGTGTGTAGTGGCAGGGCACTTTCATTTTTATATGAGTTGAATTCATTAAAATCCTTGTCAATGTTCATGTTAATATTTTTAAAATTAAAATTAAGTTTATGGCAATTATATTTTTCAATATTGTTTCTGCTCATTTCTCTGGAATTCCCTTCTGTTTGTATTGTTATACTTGATGAGATACCAGAGTTCGTTGAAGCTCTTTTAGTTTTCATCTTTTTTTTTTTTTTCTGGTTTTCACTGGTTTTTCAAAAGAGGAAGTTTTTCCTGTTTCTGCTATTTTCATTGATATCACTCACTAAACTCAGCTTGGATTATTGAAAATGTACAATTAGTTATAAATGTTCATAGATTACCCTGTCACTGCATTATTCTTTGTATGAAGCCATAGCTTTAGAGACCCTGTTTTTTTTTTTGGTACTGGGGATTGAACTTGGGTCCTTGCGCTTGCAAGGCAGGCCACTGAACCTCTGAGCTAAATCCCCAGCCCTTTAGAGACCCTGTTTTTTTTTTTGGTACTGGGGATTGAACTTGGGTCCTTGCGCTTGCAAGGCAGGCCACTGAACCTCTGAGCTAAATCCCCAGCCCTTTAGAGACCCTGTTCATGAAGTCCTGGTATTTGAAACACTTCAATAAGATGATAAATGAGCACCATAATGGAAGCACATGGTCAGAATCGGTGAACTTGAGACTCAGCATTTTTGCATACTTCTCGTCCGACCTCTCCCGGACAGGTGCATTGGAACGACACAGGTCTAGAGTGCCGGGAAGTTACTGTCCCAGCCCTGAATGAACAGGGTGAGACTCAAACACTGAACCACCACTGCAGGTCAAGATTCTTTTGAGATTTGATCTCCGCTTCCTGTTGTTATGTGACCCAGCATAGGACAGAGAGTTTTAAATTGTTTGTTGCTTTGCTTATAAATGAAAACATTCATACACAGGCAGAGGGAGAGAGAGAGTGATAAAAATAAATAGCAGATATCTTTAGGTAGGAAAACTAAAACATACTTTCAGAGGTTCTTCAGTTCTAACATAACATCTAATATTATTCTAGCTGTCAAATAATTTTGACTTGTTCAAAGAAAGGGATTAACTACCTGGATACAGCGGGATAAATAACACAGTTGTCTTCAATTTCCCACCCTGCCCCCAGCCTCCTGGCGGACACACCCAGAGATTATATGTGACATTTTTCTCCCATTCAGTCTTTTGTATCAGTTCCTGAAAAGGGGAAAACTGAGCTTACCACTGGAGGAATGGCATCATTCTTTTTAGGTGATTTGGCTTAAACCCCATTTTTAAAAGCAGTAAATTTAACAGAGGCTCAGAGAAGTCTGTGCCTAGACTCATCCTGACACCTGTGACCACACCTTATTTCAGGTGTATGTTCCAGGTATGTGTCGGGTGTGGCATGCAGAGTCAATTTCAGTTAAAATCATGAATTATATGTTCCCAGCTTTCTCTTTGTTGCATTATTTTCTTCTTATTATTGGAACTTCCCTATAACTGAGCATTTCTCTCCTTTCTTTTTCATTAAAATTTTTCAGGAAAAAAGTGATAAATCCATCAGCCTCACAAAAGAACTGAAGGATCAGATGATACAAACACATCTTTCATGAATGGTTTAAGTTTTAACAAGAAGTAAAACCTTGGTCTGCTAATAGATTTGGTGCAAAAGAATGGCAGGCCAGAGCAAAAGTGTCTGTCTTATTACTCTGGACCCAGGTCCCATTTATGGCAGACGTGGGAGCTGGGAATCTCCTGTCTGCATGGCCTCTTCCCACACTCTCCTTCCCAGAGAGCAGCACAGGACTTACATTAGGCAGCCCTTCAGCCAGTCAAGCAGTCCTCCGCATGTCCTCAGGACTGTCGTCTTGTTTTCATACCATTACAAGATATGTGGTATGTTTAGGACGAACTCTGTTTATTCTTACTTTATTAAATCTCATTCAGTTCTAATTCAATAACCTGCATGTAAGACCAATTCTTTCCTTCTGAAGTGGTTTGTTTCTTCAGCCATGATTATCTCTTTGTTACTATTTCTACAATGCTCTTGAATCGCTCTACTTTTTTGATTTCCAGAAATTTTATCTCTTTCTATTATTTGCTCTATATTCTGCATGCTACCTTGCACTGTATTAGCCTTATCCTAAAGTTATGATAGAGAATGTCATGTAATACATCGACCTTTCCACTACATTGACATAATTTAATATTTGTATATTTAATAATAACCTGTACTTTTCAGATTAGTCCTGTAATTTGTTTTCATGTCTTCATATCACTTTCTTTTTCTTAATTCCCACAGATTGTTTTCCTAGATGATATATGAAAATTTTCATACTCACAAAAGGCCATCTGACAGTAAGTATCTTACTATTTCTTGGGTATGATTATGTAGTTTTAATAGTTACTCTTTGTTCCCTCCTCCTTTCCATCCTAAAGGAATAAAAGCCATTTGTTTCTAATTTTAACAACTACAGCTTGACCAAATAAATTTACTTTTCCTTTAGAATTTTGATGAATCTCTTCCTATATACATCAAATTCCCTGCATACTGTCTTTATTTTCATTCCACTTTGCTCTTTCTTAGGTTCATGTGTTCCTTTAAAACCTTGATATATATTTGTTTCAAAGCTCTTATCTATCAATCCCATTGTCTCTGTTATTTCTAACCACATATTTATTCACTGAGTTTCTGCTGGTTATCAACACTAGTTTCCTATCTCTTCATATTTGGCGTTTTAAAATTAAGTGCTGTGCACTGTGAATGCCACATTTTAATGTCTAGATTTTGTTATCTTTTAAAAGAGTACAGAGTTGTTTTGGCAGGGCTGTTAGCTGGAAACTAACTTCAAGACTCTTCAACATGCTCTGTTAAGGCAGGATTAGAGTAACTCTGTGCTCAACACTTTTTAACTCACTCTCCAGGCTTAACATTTCCAGGCTCTCTTCCGAATGCCTTTGGTATTTCATGAGTGAGTGTTCTACACATAGGCTGGTCAGAGATTGACTGCACATACTCCAGTGATTGTTCACTGTGGTGGATTAACTAATGGTCAGCCTGGCACACCCAGCTGAACTGGATCAGCTTGGTTCTGGGCATGGAAGACCGACCTGAGAATTTTTACTGATGGCATAAGAAAGAACTGGAGGGGAAGATCATTTGTTGTTGATTTTCTTGGAGAAGCTTGTTGTGGCTTGTTTTCCTGATATGAGCTCAGCTGTTCTCACATTGTCAGAGGAACTCAGGTCCTTTCTGACACTGGGAATGCCTGCTGTTCTCCTCAGGGGAGCCTTGATTTTCACCTTGATCGTTGCTTCCCCTTGCAGATCCCTTAGCCCGGTGACACAAATCCTTCACCTTGCTGGAGCAGGCTTTCTATCGTCTATCCCCGACCTTTGGGCTTTCCCAGTGCAGATTTTCAATATGGATTTGCATGAGACATTGCTGTGGGCTCCTGGCCACTGGCTAGACTCATGCAGGACATTGTCTTGGGCTGTAGGCCTTCAGCTAGACTCATGCAGGATATTGCTGTGGGGTCCAGGCCCTCAGCTGGATTTCCCAGGTCTCTAGTGTGTGGATAGGTCCTTTGGAATCCTCTGCTTTGACTTTAGGGGTGAATATTATAAAATAATTCTGTAAATTATGTGTCCTTTATTAAATATATTCCCTTGCAAACCCTGACTACAACATTCACTTTTGCTTCCTAATAGGTTTTTCTTTTCCCCATGTTTTTGTCTAGTCCCAAGAAATCATACTTCCCAAATGCATAGCTCAGTATCCAGCTAAAGCTCTTTCTCTGTATTGCTCACCCTTTTCCAATACTTTTTACAAATTCCAGCTATGTCAGATTCATTGCTCCCCAGTCTCTGTTTCCTCCACTTGGTAGGGCCATCATGTTCCATCTTGGTCTCTCTCCTTGTGCTATAAATCTTTACGGTGTTGAATGTTTCCATCCATGAACATGGTATATATCTTCATTTGCTAAATTCTCTTTAATGTTTAGTATTTCCTAAAAGTTTATATATCTCTTATTAGAATTATTCATTGACATTTTATAGTTATTTTATATTGAATTCTTCTTTTTCCACATTTCATTTTTAAAATAATTTAAAATTCATGGAACACTTTAAAGTTACAAAAAATAACAAAATAATATAAATAAATCCTATTCAGCCCAGACTTGACAATTTTGGGCACTTTCTCATGTCTATATTTATTATATTTACCTGTATGTTGATATACAGATCTAGCTCAAAATTTCTTTGAAACATTTAAGAGCAAATTGCATATAGCACATATATATTTATTACATAAAATTAAATGTGTATTCTTAACAACATATTTAAAATATTTAGTTTATAATATTTAGAAATAGTCTTAATACTTTAGTGGAATTATAGTCTATTTTATAGTTTCACCTCCTGTTGCAATAATTTTTCTTTATGGCAATGATATTTCCCAGCATACAGTGTAGTCCAAAGTTGTGCAGTGCATGTTGTTGTATCTCTTTGGAATATTTTTATTGAGAATTGCTAATTGTTCATGCCATTGATAATTTTCAAGAACACATGACAGCTATTTAATAAAGCAAAGCTCAACTTGAGTTTTTCTGAAGCTTCCTTATGATTAGATCTAGGTAATAATTTTCTATGACACTGTATTATTGATATGATTCTGCAAGATACACATACTAATAATCCTTTACCTATTTCTTATGTTAATTTTGATTATTTGTAAAAAGCTTGCTTATGACTTAACTGCTTATTTACTACTTTTATTTCTATAATTCATAAATAATAAACTGTTATTAATTTACCAGTGAATAAATGAAATGATATTTTTCTTCCAGTTTTTCACTTGTATTCATATCTTTTTTCTTTTTCTTATATTACTGCAAAGGATGCATAAATAAGGCTATTAGTGACAAACATACCCTTCCTGTTATAGTTTGAAAACATCTCTCTCCCTTCTCCTTTCTTCCCTTCTTTTTATCCTTGCTTCCCTCCCTCCCTTTTCTTCCTTTCCTCTGCATTTTCTAATTTATGAATTTATTTAGTTTTTAATGAGTCTACATTGTTAAGTATATTTTTCTTGTAAAACACATTTCACTTAAGTTTCAGTTTTTTCAGATTTGCAGCCAGGGATGCTGCATGGGGCTTTAGGTAGCAGTCCTTCTGTGTCTTGGTCTGCAAAAGCACACATAGAGTGTCAGGCACTCTTCTAGACAGACTTTTTGGAACTTCCAGGCACAGTTGGCAGTCATGACCTGTCTCTTCCAGCAGGACCCATTTGCTGGAAATTTTTCAGGATCAAGAACTGGGACTTGGGCTTGTTGGTTTGGTGTTAGGAAAGTGACTAAAGTCAATAAATAATGAAATGACCCCAAACCACTACATTTTTATGATTGTAAAGAAACTTCAGCAATAGCGATCCACTTTAAGACCCCTCCAAAAATTTCTAAAGCTGCTGCAGAACTTCTGCCAAGGCCAGATGGAAAAGCCTGTGTTGCTGGCAGCCCAGGTTGAGCACAGGTTCATGCCCATGGAGCAGGTGCTCTGTCGGGCTAGAGTTCCTCTTCATCAGATGAAAGCACATTAGCCTCCTGCGATGTTGTCCTGTACCTGCAGGTGTGCTCACTTCTGTCGGCAGGCTCAGGAACTTCAGTGAGGGCTCTTGCTTCCACAATAAAACAACTTCAGGGAAAGAGGTGATGAATGGTTTGCTGGACAAGCCTTTCTCCAAGTCATAAGCTCTCACAAACCAAAGGTTCCTGCTTTGAAGTAAACCCATACTCAGCTGAGATGGTTGATGACCTAAAACCATCTCAGAAGGCAAAAAGACAAGGCAAGAAGCTGATGTCACTTTTACTGTCCTTGAAACACTTTTCCTATTGGCTACATTTCCTGACTTATCCATGTAATAAAAAGTCCCACCCTTACCAGATGTCTATGAAACCAAGCAAAGAACAGAATAATATGGAAAAAATTTATATCAGTACTGGAAACATATCAAGAAATATAAGGAAATTCAATATAGAGTCTTAAGCAAATTAAGCAAAGAACTTAATAACTACTAGAATATACACTGATTAGTAAATAAGGAAAAAAAAAACAACACCTCCCATATGGCCTCCTTAGGGATTCCAGCACTGGACTGCAGAATCAGGATGGGTCAATTTCTATATGATCAACATTGATTGTACCAACATTTTTGAAATGGACTCCTTGTGCTGGAGACCATAGAGTACAACCCCCCACAAAAACACAATGAAACACTGATTTGAAGATTGAAAAATCTGGGGCCTAAATTTCCATTTTGGGGGACATGTACTTAATTCTTGTGCTAATTAACTGGAGTACATGTCTAAGAACATCAAAAGTCATAAGGGATATCATCTCATCCTAGTAGATTTCTAGGACTTCCATAGGAAAATAACACAAACAAGGCTCTTTAAAACCACAGAAATGTGTTAACTCCTTCTTGAGACACAGTGTGAAATCAAGGCAGTGGCAGGGCACTATCTTCTCTGAAACCCAGCAGAGTTCTCCTAGGCTCCTCTCTCCCTGGGTACTTTGCTGGCAGCACTTGGTGCCCCTTGGCCTGCAGAACATTCGCCTCTGCTCATTGGCAGATGTCATGGTCCCGACATGGCTATGTCTGTGTCTCTCACCTCCTTTGTAAGGGCCCCATCATGTTGGACTCAGAGCCCATCCTGTTCCAATATGAACTCCTCATAATCAATTTCCTTCAACCCTTGTTCCAAATAAGATCATAAGCTGAGCTTCTGAAAGAAAGGGTTTCAGTGTATCATTGGTTCAATCCATAATACTCACATGTCCTTAAAAATACTTGAATGTTATCTTGCCAAGAAAGAAATTAATTAATAATAACATTGCATTATAAGAAGAGGCAGGGAGTATTTAAAGGAAAAGATGTTAAACAACTCAACTTAGTATGGCTATCTAATTGTCAGTGTTTTAAATAAGAGTCAATCATTAAAATGATAGTTGAAAGCAATGATATCTAATGAACAAAAAAATCAATACAAGAAAATATCTGCAAAGTATTGCAAAGTGAGTTGGAAAGCCAAAGATGTAAAAGCACCTCACCTTTTCATATTTCACTACTGGGGATATTAGATGCTATATTTTTTACATGGACAGCATTTTCCAAATTTATTTTATATTTAAGGTTATCTACAAGTTGGATAAAGACAATAGTTATTAACTTTCAAATCATAAAATGCATATAAAGGTATAAAGAACACCAGAAAAAGAAAAATAGGTGAGGTAATAACATGAAAAGAAGTAACGTAAATCAGAAGGTAAGCTATATTTTGGGGTACCTATGAACTCAT